AATGGCACAACAAACTTACAGGAAGTCCATCTTAAGGCATTTATGCAAGATGGGGACAGACTCCATATTCTTTGGCTCCTTCAGTGTCCAGGAAAAGGTTCCAAGGAAGGGTTGCCATCTACCAGCTCTCAATGGTTGTTTATTTTATTTTTTTTATTTCTTTGCAGTCAAGCCCCACTGTAACATATAAACCCCCCCCCCCCCCCAACATACACATACACACATTCCTTGCTTACACCCTCTCCTGCCATTGGGGGTTCTAAAATGCCCACTGCCTATGAGCATTTGGCACCAGTGCCTTGAAATTGGCACCTCTTTTTTGGGGGACCTCAAGCAATTCACCTGCCTTTCAGTGGTAAAAGTCAAGTTTATAGATATCAACATGGCAGGGTCACTTGCCCTGTAAATACTAGTCCAGTGTTTTATTTATTAATGTCATTATTTAACCTAACTCTGTAATGCTTAAAAGCACAGGCTCAGCTCTCTACATAGACAGTTGTTGAATTTACATAAAAAATGCACTACACCATTTCAGTTTGGAATTTGCTTTTTCAAATGTGTCCAATGAATGTTCAGCAAATATTCAGAAGTTGTAACATTTATTTTCATGTCATTGCTATAGTAAGCACCTTTATCATTAAATAATAGATGTTGTCAAAGCTCAGGAAACATCTTCATCTAGCAATTGTTGAATGTACAGCAAATGTACTGCCAAATCTTTTATGTTCTGTATACATATGACCCAAAGTTCTGCAATGGTTTGTACATCAAAACATTTTATATGTTTGTTCAAATCATTACCTACATGATGGAAGGCTGAACTGAGTGCAAAGAGGAGATAATAGCATTTAGCATGAAGTTGACAGGACAAGGGAAAGATTAATAATTACAGAATCTTTAAAAGACAAAATAATTATTTCATGCTTCAATTATTTTAATGTGGAAAAAATGAAGGTTAATGCAATTTTCACAAAAACATACAGTAGTTATATTTTGGGCATTTAAAATAAATTGTTTTACACATATTAGCAGCATAGACAAGTAAATGTATAGTTTTGACACTATATAGCTAAGTATAACCACACATATATTTCAGATAGGAGTCAAAGATGCAATTTTCAGCTATGGTAACTATGTCGGTGTGTGTTTTACATGAGTATGAGTAATGTATTCATTTTACAAACTGTGCCTATGTTTCATGTAGCTATTCACAGTGCATTACTACCAAGAAGAAAATGCATACAACAACATGAAAGAAATATAAACCATGCCCCAGTGATGACACAGAAGCAATTTAAATTGGAAAGTGTAAGACCACGGCTTTATTTAGTTTTAATAGGAAACTATACACCATTACAAACAGAACCATTGCCTGTCACATACATACTGTAAGCACACTTGATCAACAACATGAACAATAATCGAAATGTGTACCTTTATCATGATGTCAGATCCACTTGACAGCATATAATTTGACAAGGTGACACCACCAATAAAGCAGTGACAACCACTGAAACTTTGAAAGGACAAGCTGAAAACTCAACAGATAGCTGGAGTCTTTAAGGTCAGTGCCCATGCCTCCCAGCACTAAAGAACACAGTCCTTCCACACACAAGCCCAATCAGGCCACAATTAAAGTGGAACACAACTCTCTCGATCATCATTAACTATTTTTTATTTTATATGCTACTAGCATTAGTAATTTATAGAAGGGTATATTATATTTACTTGTTTTAAACTTTTTTTTTTAACTTTCTTTCAGTTACTTCTTGGTTTCTGGCCTAGGCCAAAATGATACCATATAGGCTAGAAATCATCATAGGCATTTTTTTTCTTTCATCTGAAAGAGGGGCTTTCTCAGTTAAGCATACCCTTCTGGCTGCATGCCTAAGCTAAGGACAGATGGATTCCAGGAATTTATTGTTACATGAATCATTTGCCCTTACTCAAGGTGGACACAGCTAGAAATGCTAGGAGGGTATCTTTCAAAGTGATTTTTAACAGAAGAAAGCATTTAGACATGTATGGATGGATGAGCATGCTTTGACATGACTAAAAATGAATCAAATAGCACTTTCAGTTTGTGTTGCTCACAAACCACATCCCTTTGAAGTGCCTTGCTCCCCATAGCCAAGGCTTCCTTTCACCAAGGTTAGCCATACACATACAGATGCAGTCACTGTTTGAGTATTAGGATAGCTGTGGGTGCTGGCTAAATATAATAGCCAGCAGGTTAGATTGACACTGTTTAACATGGAAGAAGAAATCTATCCACTTTGAGCACACATAAATCTATATACGTATGCTTAGGCTCCATGTAAACAGGACACTTGGAAAACACTTCTGAATGATGGAAACTGACTGCTGGAAAATGTAGGTTAAAAAACGTCTGTTAGCCATGTTTGCATATAACATTTATGCGTGTTTATGAGCATTTGCTTTTAGAATCGTTTTTTAACCATTTGACGCCCGGCCTATGGCCGAATGGCGTCCGGAAAAATGCACTAGCTTTCAGGGAGGCCGCCATATGGTGTCCTCCCGCACAGGCGCAGTTCACGCGCTTGCAGAGCCACGCAGCGGCGCGATCTGTCACCGGCCGTGTACCTCGGACACGGCCGATGACAGATCTGAGTACCGACCCCCATTGCCGGTACCATGTGACCTGCTGTGACCAATCACAGCAGGTCACATGACAGTTGTATACAATGGATGGCTTCATTCATGCCATCCATTATATACTAGTGTCTAGCTGTGAATGGTCACAGCTAATCACATGCACATGTCATGTGATTAGCTGTGGCCAAATCACAGCTAAGCACAAAAAAAAAAACCCCTGATTGAATCGATGTCATTCAGGTAAATACTTGCTTATAGCAAAGTAATTCTTTGCTATAAGCAAATTGTGTAAAAAAAAAAAAAAAATACTGATCACTTCCCCAAAGTAGTACAATGTTACTATGGTAACATTGTACTACTTTGGACATGGTGAAAGATGAAAAATAAATCTTAAGAAAAAGAAAAAAAATGTAATACAAAATTTAAAATAATAAAAAAATAAAAAAAAATAAAAAATAAATATATTTTTTTTTCACACTGTCACCAGTCAGTGTCCCTGATCACCGCCATGCCAGTTATATGATGACGCTGTACTGAACTGGTGACAGTATGTAAAAAAAAAAATTGTGAAAATATGTTTTTTTATTTTTTTATTTTCTGAAAAATTATGACAAAAAAAATACAACTTTAAAAAACTCGCCATGCCTCTTATGAAGTACGTCGGACTGTCTACTTTGCAAAAAGGGGGCCATTTGGGGGATATCTGTACTATTCTGACATTCTTGGACCTCAAGTAATTAGATTGGCTGTCAGTACTTCAGGATTGATCAATATTCAGATCTATACCATAGTTTGTGAACTCTATAACCTTCCTACAAACTAAAAAATACATCCTAATTTGGGTTATTTTCACCAAAGACATGTAGTAGAATACATCTTGGCCTAAATTTATGAAGAACAATTATTTATTTGCAAACTTTTATAACAGAAACAAAAAAAAAATGTTTGGTCTTTTTTTGTTAATTTAGCAAAAATAAAAACCCCAGCAATGATTTAAATACCACCAAAAGAAAGCTCTAGTTGTGTGAAGAAAATGATAAAATTTTAGTTTGGTTACAATGTTGTATGACCGCGCAATTGTCATTCAAAGTGTAAAAGCCCTGAAACCTGAAAAATGGCCTGGGCAGGAAGGTGTAAAATTTCCCGGTATTGAATTGGTTAAAGATAACCTCAGGAGACCTTTCAAAATGCCCAGAATGCACTAAAAAACAGTAAAAAATGTGCTATTTTCAGACATTTTGAGAGAAATAGAGAGAGCAGAAGCAGAGAGATCAGAGGGATCTGGTTGTATTCACTATGAGCATAATGCAGCACGTTCTACCATTTTTTTCCTTCACGCAAAACCTGGAACTAACTGCACTGGTGTACTGGGTCCATTTGAATACATGGAAAACACTTTGCATGCATTTCTGATGATGAAAAAAGGCTCCGGACAGCATCTGGATATGGAACAGTTAAAAACTTCTTCTAAACGCAAATGCTTATAAATGGTTAGCCACATTTACACGCGTTTACAAGCATTTACAAGCATTTGGTGTTTGAAACGCTGATAAAATCTACTCCTGAGTGCAAATTTGGTGCGTTAAAAAAAATGACTGTAAATTCAACTGCCTGTAAACGACTGTAAATGACTATCTGTACATGGACACATAGGAAAACATTAGGGAGAGTTCAGGGGCTGCTGAAAAAAAATGCAGAAAAGCTCCTGAATGTCAGTTTATCAACTGCAGTGTACATGAGCTCTTAGTCTTAGTGAAAGGAAGCTTTCACTGTGGGAGGGCATGACATTTTAAAGGGATGTGTGGGTTTATGTATTTTAATATTGTATAAGATTATTTGTGGCCATACACGGCTAAATTTTTGGCTCATTCCTGCTGAATCAGCTAAAACGTAAGTTATACAGTATATGGCAGGCAAAAGGCTCAAAGGGCTGTCATTAGTGTATACATTTGCTACAGACCTCCAATACTCTGACAGCCTGTGCAGTATAATCGGATATTTTTTAATATGCAAAAATGTAGATTAATTTATAATAAAATTGTAAAAACAGTACCTAAACAGATGTTTATGAATCTTATCATACTAGACTGGTACATTAAGCTGAATACTGTCAGCTAAAGCAGATAGTCTTGTTGCTAAGCCGTGTTGCCAGGCAGATTTATGTAGTTTTACTTTAAGCATCTTCAGTTGTTGTTAGGCAGAAACCACTTTTCCTTGATAAAGAAAGGATATTATTTTATCAAGTCTATTTCTTCCTATAGATATTCACATTCATTGTGTACTAATGAGATTTTGAGTGTGACAGATTTTGCTATGCGGTTTATGCATTCTATTTTTAGTGAGAGTTATGATACTGTCAGGGGCGGACTGACAACTCATGGGGCCCCTGGGCAATATGGGATCATGGGGCCCCTGTGTCCTTGCTGAAACTCAAAAAAGCCTATGAAAAAGGTACCAGGGGCATCTCATGGGGCCCCCTACTGACCCCAAGCCCTCGGGCAGTGCCCGAGTTTCCAAATGGTCAGTCCGCCCCTGGATACTGTTATATATTTTGGCTCATTTGCTGAGTTCAGATTCACTTTTGCCAAAGTAACATAGGTTTTATGGTATTTTTGCATTTAATTTCACATCATAAATGTTTCTTAATCTATAAGTAACTATACAGAAAGCTTTGTATGGCTTACTTGAGTTTGCAAAGTTTTTGCCAGACTGCACATTTTAGTCTAGTCTAGTTTAGAAAGTTTGATAAGGCAGGTCCTGTAATCATGTTCATGCCTGGACTGGCCATACCCCCAGGCCATGGACCATGGGTCTGTTGATGACGGGGCACAGAGTGGGAGGTAAGTGGTGACCACAGTCAACGCTCGTTTCCCACTATGTGACAATGCCTGTGTCTCCTCCAGCTGATCAAGCTCTGATCCCCTGAGCAGAGCAGAGACCGCACACAGACAGCTGAGCTGGCCAGTCTGGATTGAGGAGCAGGAAAGGGCATGGTCCAGACTTACACTCGGAGAGGAGCGTTCAGGGACCACACCATGCCCAGCCATTGGCTGCGGTCTGACTACACATTACCAACAGAGAGTCAAAACCACTTTATAGAGGTACAGAGAGAGAACCCTGGGGGTCTGAGAGAGAGAGAGAGAGAGAGAGAGAGAGAGAGAGAGAGAGATACAGTATATAGAGAGAAGTACAAGAGAGAGGGAGATACTGTACATCGAGATAAATGGGGAGATACTATAGAGAGAGCAGGGAGAGTGTTGAGAGCTACTGCACAGATATATCCCATATACTGAGAGATCTACTATACAGAGAATAGGTGAGAGCTCTACTGTGCACAAAGAGAGAGAGAGAGAGAGATGTGGAGAAGGAAAGAGATCTACTATACAAAAAGAGATCTACTGTACAGAAATATATCCTGTGTTCAGAGAGAAAGAGATCTACTCTCTCTCTCTCTCTGTGTATATACTAAGAGAGGTCGATCTACTATACAGAGAGAAATCAAGATCAGAGAGAGATAGATGTACTACAGAGAGAGGGAGTGATAGAAGGAGAGAGAGAGAGATGGGGGGGGGGGAGAGATAGATCATATGCAGAGACATCTACTGTACAGAGAGATCCCATATACAGAGAGAGATAGGGAGAGATCTACTATATAGAGAGACAGAAATCCAAATCACAGAGATATCCCATGTACAGAGGGATCTGATATACACAGGGAGAGGGTTCCCACAGAGAGATACATGGAGAGTTCCTTTATACATAGAAATATACTATGCAGAGAGAAAGGGGGATCAAATACATGGATATATCTGCTATACAGAGCGATCCCGTATACAGGGAGAGAGAAAATTACAAAACTACTAAACAGAGATCTGATATATACAGAGAAAAGAGAGAAGGGTCTGATACATGGAGAGATCTAATATAAAGAGAGGAATCCCATATAGAAAGAGAGAGTGATCTACTTACATAGATCTGATATGCAGAGTGGGGGCTTGAGAGAGGGGGTGCAATGCGGCAATGTCTGTGTCTACTCTCCCAGCTCTCCTGCCTCGCCAACAATGTCATCCTCATTACGTTCTCTGTCTCCCCGTCCTCAAACACCTCCCCCCCAAACGTCAAACATCACCAGCCGCAACCTCCGCAACCCCTCTCCACTCCGCAGCTGACCGTCTGTGCGACAGTATCCTTCCACTGTCCTGCCCTGACCTGTCCACTACTGCGTATAACAACTCGCTGTCAGCTGCTTTAGACTCCCTAGCACCCCTAACCACATGTAGCATTAGACCCCGATTGCTTCAACCCCAGCAGAACGACCGCAACAAAAATCTTAAACGACACAGTCTCGCACTGGAGCGATTATAGCGCAAAACCAGATCCTCTCAGTGTACACCCTTTACAAATCCGCCTTCCTCACCTACACCTCCTCCCTCTGTCGCCAAACAAGCCTACTTCGTAACCCTCATCAATTCCCTCTCCTCCAATCCTCGCCAGCTCTTCTCTACCTTCAACTCTCTACTCTCCCCCCCCCCCCCCCCACCTCCACCCAGCACCTCACTCACCGCCCACGAGATTGCCAATCACTTCCAAAACAAGATCGACGCAATCCGTAGGGACATCGCCAATGCTCAATCTACCTCCCCACCTAGCCTCCCTCCCAATATAACCCCCGCAACTCTCCCCTCCTCTGACCTCGCAATCGCTCTGACCCCCACCACACCTAATATCCTACACACTAAAGCCTCCCCAACACTCCACTCCTTCAGCCCTGCTACCACCGAAGAGGTCACTAAGGTCTTCACAGAAGCCCGCCTCACCACTTGCCCCCTTGACTCTGTCCCCACACAACTCCTCCGGTCACCCTCCTCCTCCATCCTACGCTCCCTCACCCACATCTTCAATCTCTCCCTCTCTACTGGTGCATTCCCCTCCCCCCTAAAGCACACGCACATCACCCTCATACTCAAAAAACCCTCCCTGGACCCCTCCGACCTGAGCAACCTTAGATCCATCTCCCTGCTGCCATTTACATCCAAGCTCCTTGAGCGCTTATTATACAATCGCCTAAGCTCCCACCTCAATGACAACAACCTCGTCGATCCACTACAGTCTGGCTTCCGTCCCCTACACTGAAACCGCCCTACTCAAAATCACTAATGACCTGCTAACCGCCAAAGCTAATGGCCACTACTCAGTCCTCCTACTCCTCAACCTCTCCGCGGCCTTCGACACAGTTGACCACCCCCTCCTCCTTAATAAACTACACTCCCTTGGCATCAGAGACTCCGCTTTTTCCTGGCTCTCCTCCTATCTATCCCAATGCTCCTTCAGTATTACCTATAATGCTACCACCTCCCCCTCTCTCCCCCTCTCTGTTCGGGTTCCCCAAGGCTCTGTCCTCGGGCCCCTTCTCTTCTCCATCTACACCTCCTCCCTTGGCCAACTGATGCAGTCCCATGGCTTCAACTACCACCTCTAACGCCGATGACACAGACAAATCTACCTCTCCACCCCTCGCCTCACCCCCTCAGTCTCCGCCCATATCACCCACCTACTGAACAACATTTCAGACTGGATGTCGCTCCACTTCCTCAAATTAAACCTTTCCAAAACTGAGCTCCTAATTTTCCCCCCAGCCCTCACCCCCACCTCCACCCTCTCCATCACGACCAACAATGCCACCATCAGTCCCATCCCGCAAGCCAAAGTCCTAGGTGTCACTCTAGACTCAAACCTGTCCTTCCAACCCCATGTCCAATCGCTGGCAAATTCATGCAGGCTCCACCTCTGCAACATCTCCAAAATACGCTCGTTCCTAACCCCAGACACTACCAAACAACTCATACACTCCCTTATTATCTCACGACTCAACTATTGCAACTCCCTCCTCACCGGCCTACCCCAACACAGGCTATCCCCGCTTCAGTCTATCCTGAACTCAGCGGCCAGACTCATCCACCTTACCAACCACTCCGCATCTGCTACCCCCCTCTGTCATTCCCTCCATTGGCTTCCGATTGCCCAATGCATTAAATTCAAACTACTAACACTGACGTACAAAGCCATTCATAACACTGCCCCAAACTATCTCACCGACCTGATACCCAAATACACCCAACCCACACTCTTCGCTCCTCACAAGACCTCCTACTTTCTAGCTCCCTGGTCTCCTCCTCCCACGCCCGACTGCATGACTTCTCTAGGACTTCCCCCATCCTCTGGAACTCACTACCCCAATCCATCAGACTGTCACCTACCCTGCTCACATTCAGTCGCACCCTGAAAACCCATCTCTTCAGGGAAGCCTACCCCACCCTTACCTAACAGCCGATCTCCTCCACTCCTCCTACCACTCCACCCCCCACAGCCACTTCCTCCTGTGCCACTATCCCCTCCCTCCTAGATTGTAAGCTCGAAAGAGCAGGGCCCTCGAACCCCTCGTATACTGTTTTGTTACTGTATTGTCTCATGTACTGTCCCCCACTGCTCTGTACAGTGCTGAGCAAACTTTGTGGCACTATATAAATACTGTATAATAATAATAATCCTATCAGAAGAGCAGGTGGAGCTTCAGATCTGCACAGAGAGTGGGAGTCTTTTCATATTAACAAGTGGGTAATCATCCGCTTGTCAATATGATCCAGACCTGCAGCTTCTCCTGCCCCCTGCCCTACTGATAGGATGACATTGTTGGTGGGGCAGGAGACCCTGGAGAGGACACACAGGCTAAATCCTGCCTCTGCCCTGCCGAAGTTAGTACTATTCAGGGAAGGCAGAGAGTAAAAGGGGGCACTCTGAAGAGAAAAAAAATGTATAAATGGGGGGGGGAGCATGACTGCAAGCGGCACTGTGATGGGGGGCTGTGATTGTCAGGGGGACTGTGATATAATGGGGACTGCACTATAAAGGGGTACTGCAATCGTTACAATACCCTTCTACAGTGCAGCCCCCTTTATATCACAGTGCCCCTTTACATTTCAGTGCAGAGGACCACCTTCCCGATCCCTGAAAAAATTGGTTGCTCAGTCAAAAATGCCCGGGCCTATTTTTTGTCCCAGTTGAGGACTGATCATGTTCATCAATTAGCTGCAGACAGGTAGAATCACTATTCTTGAGACAAACAGATACATCTTGCAGTGTTGCATAGCCCAGTGGATTTTTCTGAAATTAATTTTTACATAATTCAAATCAATATGTTCTATTACTGGCACTTTTAATAGGTACAGTCTGGGGGCCAAACTTAGAAGGTGTCTGAGTTGTAGTGATTTTGCTTTTTTAATCTATTACTTACAGCTTTATAATAGGAATTAGAATAATTCTAAACTAAAGAACAGACAGTATGTTTTTGCCAGAGGTGATTTTAGCCATTTTGTTAATCAGGGTTGATTGTTGCAAATGAACAGCCTACAGGAGTCTAATTTGTATTCCAGTCCACTCCAATTTTTCCAGAACACTGCCGGATCCACGCTCACCATTGTCCCCAATGCAGAAGGTTTAGAATCTGAAATGTATTTGCCAATTTTCCTTTTGCTTTGAACAGTTATAATCTAGGCAGGTGAATTCAGTTAAATATAATATCCAGCTACTTAGGGGCAGTAAGCTAAGTTTGCAGAGCAAATATATTTGATAGTAGCAGTTTAAGGGGTTTAATGTCACACACATTTC